ACTTAATGACCAAACTACGGATATCGATTTATTTCGAAATTTAAATGGAATACACTTTACAGATTCACCCATGCAAGTGGCGTCGGTAACAAGGATTGTATATACGATTTTTAAAAAATCGAGCATCACGCGCGAGACAATTGCCGGACGTTCTATGTATTACTAGAAACGTAATGATAGTAGGTCAATAATGAAATTTATAATAATAAAATCACAACGAATTGACGCGTAACAAACACAGTGATCGTGTTGGGTACGCGAATGTCACGGTCTGATGAGTGCTCGATAATCGCAGGAATATCCACCACGATTTGTGTGAAGGCACCTGTAACACGAAGTATAAACACTCGCCTCTCAATGCGCTTGTACACATAGATTGTTGTTGTATCTCTACCATCCTGCGACAAAGCAGCTTCTCCGGAGAATTGTACGCTGTTCTCTCGTTATCATTACCGGCGCCAATCGCTGATTCATAATATATATATATATATATTTTTTTATAATATATGTAATAAAAAAATGTAAATAACGCCTCGCGTCTCGCGATTACTTTCAACGGAGAATATTTAACAAATGGTGCTCTTTTTTTAAATTTGGAAGCTCCTTTGGAATAGATTAATCGGTCTAGAATCCGTAACCTTCTTTGATATTATTCTAGCAGTCCGTTCCACGGTCGCTGGACAGGTTATTCTCATAACTTGTTTCGAAAGTCATCGAGTTCATTGATTCGATTAGTATTATTCTTCCACGCACGAGGAAGCTAAACACATCTTGTCCCAATAGTCACGCATCTACTATTGCCTAATAAAATAATTTCACATCTCTGTTTGGCCTTTGTACTCTAGATTTTTGTTTCTCTTTCATCGATCCCAAGAAAATTCACTCCTTCTTTCCTCTTTTTCTTTCGACATCCACTATATATATATATTATATATGTACGATTACGTATTCGAACCATGTTGCAAATAACATTGAACCAATTTTCAGGTAGGCGAGCATCAACTTCTCGTTCATTTTGATCCCCGGTCGAACTCGATCGGGAATGCAAATCGATAAAAGCTTGAAACTTAACGATACTTCACTCGTAATCTTTTGTTCACCGACAAAATTGATTCGAAGCTATCTCGTGTGTCGTTCGAACAAGAAGCGATTGCTGGATGATTCCAGTGCATCGGCGACCGACGAAAGCCGGCATCGATCGAATATTCGACCTTACACGGTCGTAGTCGCGTAGACGGAAGTAGACACGGCGCCATTCGCGGTGGACGCCGTATCCTCCTTTTGTCAGCAATGCGTCGTCACTGCCGAGCTCTGACGAAGCAGCGCCGAAGAGATTTCGTTACTCTCCAACCACCTGGCGACTTCCGGTGGCATCTGCGGTCGAACGTGAGGTACCTGCAAGGTGCACGATGATTAATTCATATAAAATGATTCGCGTGAAATCACTCGGATTAATGTAACCGTGTCGATATCTTTTTTTTTTTTTTTTTTTT